CTCTCTCCTCACTCTCTTCTCTCTCCTCTTCCTCTCCTCTTACTCTCTCTCTTCTCCCCCCTCTCTCCCTCTTAATCCTCTCTCCTCCCCTCTCTGCCCTCTATTCTCTCTCCCTCCCCTACCTCCCTCCCTCTCTCTCCTCTCTCTCTGTCTCCTTCTCCTTCTTTCCCTCCCTCTCTCGCCTCTTATCCCTCTCTCCTCCCTCTCTCTGCCTCTACTACTCTTCTCTCTCCCCCCTCTCTGCCTCTTATTAATCTCTCTCCTCCCTCTCTCTGCCTCTTACTACTTTCTCTTTCATCCCTCTCTCTGCCTTTTACTTCTCTCTCTCTCTCCATCCTCTCTCTGCCTCTCTCTGCCTCTTACTACTCTCTCCTTCTTCTCTCGGCCTCTTACCTCCTCTCTCTCTCCTCCCTCTCTCTGCCTCTTACTTCTTTCTCTCTCCTCATCTGTCTGCTCACTCCGCTTCTCTTCCTCCCTCTCTTGCCTCTTACGACTTTCTCTTACATCCTCTCTGCCTCTACGATCTCTCTCTCCTCCCTCTCTCTGCCTCTTACTCCCCTCTCTCCTCCTTCTCTCTGCCCTTACTCCTTTCTCTTTCATCCCTCTCTCTGCCTCTTACTCCTCTCTCTCTAAATCATCTCTCTGCCTCTTACTACACTCTCTCCTCCCTCTCTCTGCCTCTTACTCCTCTCTCTCTCCTCCCTCTCTTTCTCTTACTCCTCTCTCTCTCTGCCTCTTACTACTCTCTCTCTCCTCCCTCTCTCTGCCTCTTACTACTCTCTCTCTCCTCCCTCTGCCTCTTACTCCTCTCTCTCCTCCCTCCCTCTCTCTCTGCCTCTTACTCCTCTCTCTCTCCTCCCTCTCTCTGCCTCTTTCTGTTTCATTCTCTCCTCTCCTCTCTACCTGTGCCTCTTTTTTTTCTCACTTCATCTTTCTTTCTCTCCTTTCTCTCTCGCTTTCTTTTTCCTCTGTAATGGCCAGCGAGGACCATTTTCCTCGGGAGGAACATATCGAATGAATCCTGTTGCAGATTTTTTGTCTGAATACATTTCCACTGTTTGAATACGGCCAATCTTGTCTAATAAAAGGGTAGTTGATATAGCATGAAATATTCATCAAAGGCCTTCCCCCAAGATTCCGGCACTCTTCGACGCATCTCCATGAATGAGAAACAGACTTGGCCAGACCATATATTGAGGTAAACGTCCACGCGCGCCACTGAATGAGATGCCTAGGAAAGCCATCAGGGAGGTCACCTCTACGGTGGATATGTATCTCTGTCACTCCGGTTTGGTTTCCAGCCCCACCACGTCTTAATAAATGGACAATAGTGTGCTAGGCGCTCCCGCAGCTCAGTGGCATTTAGGAACAGCTTGTGAGTAGCTGTAAGCCTGTATTTTAGATCATTTATGCATGGGATCATTTGGCCAGAGGAACAGCATTAGCTGCTAATGAGGACCAGAACGGAAAAATGAACTATTAAACAAGCGCTTCCATATGGTAGCGCAAGGTAAAGTCATGAAAGGCTGAACTTCAGAGTTTTAGAAGGACAACCAAATACTTCAGCAGCCATAAGCCAGGCAGGTTTTTAATGTTTAGGTAGGGATTCAAGGCTTATCAACAGCATGTGTTGCAGAAGAGCATAACACATTACAGGTGATCACAACTTGGCAATCTCAAACTTCTGTAAAAAAACAGACGATTATCAAAACAGTCTTCTGACTGAATATCGACACCGGCTCGACTGCCATTGTTTCATCAAATATCTCGCTCTCTCCTTTAATGTTCCACGATGCTATCGACATTCTCAGCACAGCAGTTCCCACAGGGCTGAGTATTTCACTACCCTCACTACGGTCTTATTACTAATATAACATGCTACCCCTGGAACAAGGTAGACTGTAGGGGACAGTACCTTTGAAACTGCTGTGAGATTTACAGCCTCATAATTGTTCAAACGTTGTTTACACCGAGCTGCTGCCTTGAAGACACAATAAAGGGAAGTAATTGTGTGCAGCAGCAGACACGCTGTAGCCCTCCAACTGAGTCCCTGCCGGTGGTTGGCGGTGGTGATGTGGATAACTCCCTGATCTGTTGCCATGGCCCCTGGGTGCGTGGGTGTGAGCTGTCAGCACTAGTTTAGGGCTTCAGATGGGAGAGCCTGACATCCAAGGGCCCTCTGGGGGCCCTACACGCACAGGTGCTAAGAAAAACATGAGTCCATGTCGACTGTGAATGGATGACACTATTAACCCGCCAACCCCAGGATTCTTCAAGCATACTTGACTTATTTTGCATTGAGATGTGAAATGTCAATTTTCCAAAGAAAATTGAAGAAAAACTAAATGGAATTAATATATATATATATATATATATATATATATATATATATAATTTTTTTTTTTTTCTACAAAAATTGTTTTTAAATAAACCCGCTTACATACTGGTTGAATATAAACATATTCATGTGTGAGTATATTAAAATAGCTTAATGTAATGTTGTTTCAGAAAGACTCAAGTTGAAACTTACTGAGATAATTGGGCAAACATAGATGTGTATGAGAATTGGTTTGAATTAATCTACCCACCTGATCCCAACAATCACCTAGAGTAGACTAATCAATCAACTATTCCATAGTCTTCTGTACCTTTTTTTAGAATAATACATTGAGTGGCTCTATACGTCAGCATTGAAGACTGGAAAGAACCTATCATCAGACTGATTGAGGAGGTTCCTCAGATGGGAGCTGTATGAACAACTTCTCAAGCTCTTAAGCTTTAAAGGTATAAACGGTATGCAAAAACATAATTCTGGCATACATGTGCTTTCAAAGACACATGTCCTAAGAAGATAGTCTAAAACGCTCACAATTTAGAGTCACTTTTGAAGAATCCTTCTATAAGTCCCTAGGCTTTTCTGCCGAGATTCAAAGACGAGTGCGGAACATCAAAACACATTGAGGTCATTATATTCCACTCTGGATGAATTCTCCCATTTCACCTCTATAACTATCCTTTTATGACTAGCTAGTCCATTATTTAGAGCCAATAGATGTAAAGTAATTCTTGGAAATAGCAGCAGACTGACTGATTTACTTTTTCAAGAGGCAAACAGGGTTGTGTTTCGCCGACAGCCATCAGTAGTTCAGAGAGTCGAGTGCTAAACTATGAATTTCAGTCAATATTGGAAAATGAACAATTGTTGACACTGTCTGCCGAAGATGTATGCTATGATATTAGCAGACAGGATGATGAGCCACTGTTATTATTCAAACGGACCGGAGAATTGCAAAGCATCACGATTAGTGTAAACAAACATGATTATATTTTATAAAACCTACTAACTATGTGCTATAAAATATACCTTTACATCTCTACTTGACTACTTTTTCTGTTTCATACTAGTAAGAGGTATGGCTTGGGAACATTCTGCCACATGTAAAACTATTTAACAGATGAACAACTTAACAAGAAGCATCACTACATCACTAAATAAACAAACCTTTTGAGATGTCATCAAGCCTCACCAGATACAGTGCCTTGCAAAAGTATTCATCCCCCTTGGCATTTTTCCTATTTTGTTGCATTACAACCTGTAATTTAAATGGATTTTTATTTGGATTTCATGTAATGGACATACACAAAATAGTCCAAATTGGTGAAGTGAAATGAAAAAAATAACTTGTTCCAAAATATTCTACAAAATAAATAATGGAAAAGTGGTGCGTGCATATGTATTCACCCCCTTTGCTATGAAGCCCCTAAATAAGATCTGGTGCAACCAATTACCTTCAGAAGTCACATAATTAGTTAAATAAAGTCCACTTGTGTGCAATCTAAGTGTCACATGATGTGACACATGATCTCAGTATATATACACCTGTTCTGAAAGGCCCCAGAGTCTGCAACACCACTAAGCAAGGGGCACCACCAAGCAAGCGGCACCATGAAGACCAAGGAGCTCTCCAAACAGGTCAGGGACAAAGTTGTGGAGAAGTACAGATCAGGGTTGGGTTATAAAAAAATATCAGAAACTTTGAACATCCCACGGAGCACCATTAAATCTATTATTAAAAAATTGAAAGAATATGGCACCACAACAAACCTGCCAAGAGAGGGCCGCCCACCAAAACTCACGGACCAGGCAAGGAGGGCATTAATCAGAGAGGCAACAAAGAGTCCAAAGATAACCCTGAAGGAGCTGCTAAGCTCCACAGCAGAGATTGGAGTATCTGTCCATAGGACCCCTTTAAGCCGTACACTCCACAGAGCTGGGCTTTACGGAAGAGTGGTCAGATAAAAGTCATTGCTTAAAGAAAAAAACAAGACTCCCCAAACATATGGAAGAAGGTACTCTGGTCAGATGAGACTAAAATTGAGCTTTTTGGCCATCAAGGAAAACTCTATGTCTGGCGCAAACCCAACACCGCTCATCAACCCCGAGAACACCATCCCCACAGTGAAGCATGGTTGTGGCAGCATCATGCTGTGGGGATGTTTTACATCGGCAGGGACTGGGAAACTGGTCAGAATTGAAGGAATTATGGATGGCGCTAAATAGAGGGACATTCTTGAGGGAAACCTGTTTGTCTTCCAGAGATTTGAGACTGGGATGGAGGTTCACCTTCCAGCAGGACAATGACCCTAAGCATACTGCTAAAGCAACACTCGAGTGGTTTAAGGGGAAACATTTAAATGTCTTGGAATGGCCTAGTCAAAGCCCAGACCTCAATCCAATTGAGAATCTGTGGTATGACTTAAAGATTGCTGTACACCAGCAGAACCCATC